TTCCTCCATGGTCTCTGCTTCAGTTCCTGCCTTCATTTCCCTCAATGATGGACTGTTACCTGTCAGCCAAATAAACCCTGTCCTACTCAAGTTGTTTTTAGTCAGTGTTTCATCACAGCAACTGAAAAAGCTGACTAATGATGATTTTGGATCACAAGTTTGAAGGCACATTCCATAACGGCTGATAATGAGCGCAGCAGGACCTGAGGTGGATGGTCACACTGTATCCAGAACAGAACAGATAGGAAGTATGGAGGCCTATAAAACCTCAAGACCTGCTCCTAGAGTCACTTCCTCTTGCAAGGCTCTACCTCCTAATGATTCCTCAGTCTCTCACAACAGCACCACGACATTTCTCATTCAAATGGAAACAGGAGGGAATGATTTTTTTTTGACTGTCCACATCAAACAAGGACAGTATTCTTTATGGCATTCCCAGAGTAAAACTTACTCATCTCAGTGTGTCCTACAAGCTGAGAGGAACAAAGCACAAAGGGTATAGTAGGTATGTCATCTCATGCACTAGTGGGGCAGGAGAGATGGCTCAGCAGTTAAGAGCACTTGCTGGAACTGAAGAAAAGGATCAGTGGTTACGAGTACTTGCTGCCTCCTTCAGAAGACCAGAGCTCAGTTCCCAGCACCCACATGGCAGCCCACAGGTGTGTGCAACTCCCGCTCCAGGGGATGTGATGACCCTCTTCTGACTTCTGCAGGCACTGTACTCAAGTGGATATACCCACACACATTGAAAAAAAAAAATCTTTTTCAAAACTCGGTTTTGTTCTTGATTTTCTCTCCTGATTATGGAAGGGATGAGGGAGATGGGGAGGGAGATGGGGAGGGAGAGGGAGAGGGAGAGGGAGAGGGAGAGAGAGAGAGAGAGAGAGAGAGAATATGAATGAGCTCCACAGTAGTCATGGAGACCACTTATACCAATGACTGACCATGTGACATCACCTATTTTGTGCACCCACAGGCCCCCCTGGAGCAGGTCCTGGCAGAACCCAAGATAGGTTTCCACCAGCCCGGACTCCTGCCTCTGGGAACCAAACTCATTTTAGGCCAAATGACAGAGAATCCATGGAATTTGTGAATTCTGTTCACCTGGCTTCCTGCAAATGTTTTATCCCAGAAGGAGATGGAGCCCTCCAAACCCAGCTTCCCACCCCCATATGCATCCTGTGGTATTGTAAACCAAAGCAAATTACATCCTTGAGGTCTAAGCAAGCTCTGATATGCTTATTTTGCATATATATTGTGCATTACTAGAGGAGCTGGGTGGAGAGGAGGGCTTTGTTGTGCGTGTTTGCTCTGGCCATTGTTTATGCAGGTCTGACTGAATGAGGGAACAGTGGGTATCATTTCAATTTCTGATGTCAACATCAAATTACTTATTTAATTTCATGCCTGGTGAAGCATTGTATAGCTACACGCGGAATCATTTCAGTTCATTTGTTATGCTGTGCTTTCGCAGCGATTGGCTTGCCTTCCAACTGACAGCTTTAATTACGACATGGATTTGATTGCACTGCCGAAGAATTAACATAATGCAACAAAGCATTTAAGCACCCTGCCTTATCACCCCCTCTCCCTCATACGCGGGCATACACACACTGAAGACACAGGACACAAGGGATGTTGGACCCTCCCTACTTTGAAGCTGAATCTACTTCACAATCTATAGGAGGCACACATGCAGAATCTTAGCATCAGAGGCTACTTGCAACTGCCAACTCACTGAGCTCATTTTCATTAATAGTAATATGTATTTATTTACGAACAGCAGGGTCTCATGTATCCCTGGCTGACCTGGAACTCATTGTGTAGCTGAAGATGACCTTCTGTTTTTAATTATGTGCATGTGTCTGTCTGTCAGTATGTGCACATGAGTGCAGTGCCCAGGGAAGCCAGAAGAGGGTTTCAAATTCCCTGGAGCTGGACTGAAAGGTGGTTGTGAGCATCCTGATATGGGTGCTGGGAACTAAACTTAGGTCCTCTGCAAGAGTGGCAAGTGCTCTTAACTGCTGAGTCATCTCCCCAGCCTCCTCAAATTCTCTTTGTGTGTAGGTATGTTCATGTGTATGTATACATGTGCAGGAAGGTATGCCAGTCTCTGTGTGTGTGTCTCTGTGCTGGATAGCTTTACTGTCAACTTGACACACCTGAGTTGAGGGAGCCTCAATTGGGGAATTGCCTCCATAGTACTGGCCTGTGGCCATGTCTGAGGGGCATCTTCTTGATGAGTGATGTGGGAGGGCCCAGCCCACTGTGGGCGGTGCCACCCCGGGCAGGTGGGGCTGTGTTGCATAAGAAAGCAGGCTGAGAAGGGGACAGGGAGCAAGTCAGTAAGCAGGGATCCTCCTCTGTGGTCTGTGCTCCAGCTCCTGCTTCCAGGTTCCTGCCCTAAGTTCCTACCTTGGGCTCCCTGATGAATTGTGATCTGGGAGCTATAAGACAAACTCTTTCCTCCTCAAGTTGGTAGAGTGTTTTGTCACAGCAGTGGAGAAACAAACTAGGATAGTCTCTCTATGTGTGTATGTGTGTGTGTGGTTAGAGATCTGTATCTGGTGGGTGTGGGGGACCCCAAACTCTCCTCAACCCCAACCTTGAATTCCCGATCCTCCTACCTCCATCTCATTTATGTTGGGAATACAGGCATGTACACCCATAGCAGGCTTGTTCAGACCTGGGGAGTAAACTTAAGACTTTGTGCATCATAGGCACATGTCTACCAAGTGAGCTAAAATCTTAGCCCTCCTCCCCCATTTTTTTTCTTTTTCTTTAATTTTTATTTATTTATTTAGTCTTTTTGAGACAGGGTCTCTCTGTAGCCCCAGCTGTCCTGGAACTCACTATGTAGACCAGGCTGGCCTC